AAGATCCACCTAGATCCAGTTTATTCTCTTTGCTTGTCTTTTCTTCATCCTTCACCAGCCCTCTCTCAGGCTCCCTGAACCCGTCCGTGGCTGTGCTGGTGAGGCACACCTCAAGGCTCACAGTAAGTAAGTATACCATCCTATAAATAGAGACTTTGGCACCTGCCTCAAGAGCCTTCCATTCCATCAGTCTGAGTTTTGTTCAACACAAAGGGAAGAACCCATCCCTCTCACCCTGATGCCTCAGTTCAATGACTTTCTCACTCCACTTCAAATACCTACTTGAGTGGCTAGCCATACAGTGAATCTTTACTGTGTTCAAAACTGCTCCATCTCTGAAAAATTATTTCTGACATCCTATTCTCCCATCTTACATCCTCCCTCTATAACTCCTACCACTCCTGTTACTCAACTACCCTGAGATCTCCAGACCACTTTCTTCCTTTCCCACAGCCTACCCATATCTTCACATCCCACCCAATTCAGTTTAGAATCCATGGTTTCTCATTTTAACTACTATTTCCCAATATCCTTGGTAGAGAGCACCTGGGAAAGGCCCCTGAATACAGCAGTGCCGGGCAGAGCCATGCTCTGGAAACATACCTTGCCAGAGACAGGTGTGTTGTCAACCTGACTTTCTGGGGGTGGGTTTCATTATCTAAATCCAGCCAAGTACCCGGAACAAACAAGATTATCCCAGCCCACCCAGAAGTGATGATTACAAAGAAGCCACAAGAATGCACTTAATCTCCTTTGTCTTGGGCTTTAGTAAAACTTCCTGGTATTTTGCTGTATAAAATAACTATGCTTTATGGGCCCTGGGTCACTGTCTATTCAGAAGAGGACAGCTATCCCACCCGCCCCAGCTTTTTCCTTCTATCTCTGTGTCTGTCTCTTTCTTTCATTTTTCTCATCCCCAGCCACTCCTACTCAGGAACCTGACCACTCTAGCCGGGTTGGATGTGGAAAAGAGAGAAATATTTAAAATCCTTTTATTGTATATGTTTAATAAATGCCAACTCAGACAAAATCAATTCTGTCTCTTCCATTCTTTCACCAGTATTAAAGTTATTAAATTCAAATGGGCAGTAATTTTATTCTTTTCCTAGCAAACTTACTCTCCCATTCTTTTCTTTTTTTAAAAGTATATTTTATTGATTTTTTACAGAGAGGAAGAGAGAGGAATAGAAAGTTAGAAACATCGATGAGAGAGAAACATCCATCAGTTGCTTTCTGCACACCTCCTACTGGGGATGTGCCCGCAACCAAGGTACATGCCCTTGACGGAATCGAACCCGGGACCTTTCAGTCTGCAGGCCAATGCTCTATCCACTGAGCCAAACCGGTTTCGGTTCACCCTTCTTTACAACTATTATAAGTTTCCTCTCTCAAATTACTGAGCTCACCTACTATGTAAAACCTTGCTGTAAATAAGTACACATAACACTAACATCTGTAAATTAGCCTCAGCTGTTTCAGTTAGAATTTATTTATAAATATAAGAGAAAGATCCATTATATTCCTGCATTGATTACTATACATTTTATGGTAAAATTGAAGAAACATAGAATGCTTCCCCCAAAATATCACTTTCTGAAATAATCAAATATTAAACATAGTGTACTAAAAAATTAATAGAATAATATATCAATTAATTATGCAATGTTTTAATCTTAAACGATAATTCTTATTAGAGAGAAAACACCAATTAGTAACTACAAATTATAAGATGAAATAATAATAAACTAAAACAAAAAAGTCAATTATAAACTAAAAGCAAACAAAATACTGGAAAATATTCCATAATTCTAAAGAACAGATAAGGATTTGCTAAAGTGGGTATATTTACACTTAAGATTAACGGTAGTAGCATATTCTTATAAAGATTAAATATTTCACATGAAATCTTCTTTTTATTATTTAGCAAACCATTTTCTTTTGATAGAAAAGTGAACCTTATCTCAATGTTCTGAATATACTGGAATTCAGTTTAACGAAATATTAACATATTATTGTTTTAAACAAATAGGATTCATCTATTAGCACATTTTTTAAAGATACCTCAGATTAGCTATTTTATTTGGGGGGTGAGGTGTAGAACTGTATTTGTTTGCTTTCTCTGTTATTTTCTGGGACATTAATAGTACATCTACATCATACTGCAATTACTCCCCCAAACACCAAAATATAACAGAATTGTACTGTTTATACAGTACAACATAAACAATAGATAGACAACCAGTAACAAACTTTCAAGAAATATATTCATAAAACTACATTTACAATTATAGAAATGCCAAGATAATTATGACCAAAGTTATTTAGGCATACATACCGTTTCCCCGAAAATAAGACAGTGTCTTATATTAATTTTTGCTCCCAAAGATGCGCTAGGTCTTATGTTCAGGGGATGTCTTATTTTTCCATGAAGAAATATACAGTACACATTTATTGTTAAATGAAAATAAAGGAAATTTATTACTTGTATATGGTACGGCAGTACTGTAGTTGTCAACACAAACCAGACAAACTGTGAATCCTACAGTATCAAGAATTTACTCATTTATTCAATGACAATCATGTCATCATCTTCTGGAATATCATCATAACAATCCAATTCCTGAATTTCCTGGTGAATTTCTTGTGACTCCATTTCTTTGAGAATCAGTACACCAAATCTCTCATGTTTAGCAATAGCAATCAGGGGGATGCCTTATTTTCGGGGGGATGCCATATATTTCACTCAGAAGGAAACCTGTAAGTAGGTCTTATTTTCGGAGGATGTCTTATTTTCGGGAAAACACGGTATGTATCAAGAACACACAAGCCTGGTGAACAACATAGACTGATGAACAAGAACAGACCCAGAGATAAGGAGCCATGGGTCAGACTGTTGGACCTCAAAGGGAGGGTGGGGATAAAAGGGAGAGATCAACCAAAGGACTTATGTGCACATGAGCCTACCCAGTGGTCAAGGACAATAGGGGGGTGGGGGCATGAGTGGGGGGGAGTGGGGGATTGGAATGGGGGGGTTGAGGACAAATATGTGATACCTTAATCAATAAAGAAATTTAAAAAAATAAAAAAAGAACACACAAGCCATGTAAGTAGGAGACAAAATGAGAAGAAAAATAAAAAGCATTTTAAAGAAATGCTATCACAGTTACCTAGGAAAGTGTTCTTAAAAGAGAAGATAGAAACAAAGAAAGGAAAAAGAAACAGGCCAAAAATATCTGAATGAAAGTAAGTCAAAGGCAGTTTCCTAGTTATAATTAAAATGTTCAATTAACTAATAAACTTGTAAAATCTTAGTTGTATCTAACGTTGCAAAGACAAATTACCCTGGTAAAAAATTGTTCACCTCTTTTAAAAACAGAACCCAGCTGGAAAAGAAAAAGCATTGTTTCTAGCCCTGGCCAGTTTTCTGTGTTTAGACCAAGGGTTGTGGGTTCAATTCCAGGGCAAGGGCACACACCTCTGTTGCCAGTTCACGCTGGTAAGGGCACGTACGTGAGGCATGTGCCCTTACGCCCCCCTTCTCCCCATCTACTTCCCTTCTCTCTAAAAATCAATGGAGAAAATATCCTTGGGTAAGGATTAAAAAGTAATAATAATGCTCTAACCGGTTTGGCTCAGTGGATAGAGCATCGGCCTGCGGACTGAAAAGTCCCACGTTTGATTCTGGTCAAGGGCATGTACCCTGGTTGTGGGCACATCCCCAGTCGGGGGTGTGCAAGAGGCAGCTGATAGATGTTTCTCTCTCATCAATGTTTCTACCTCTCCTTCTCCCTTCCTCTCTGTAAAAAATCAGTAAAATATATTTTTTATAAAAAAGTAATGATAATAAGTAAAGTTGTCTCTATTCTCTATTTCTAAATCGTTTTACAAAAAAAGTTATAGAAAATTTATCTTCTTTTTAAAACTAGATCCAACTGATAAACCAAACTTTCTCTGAAAGTAACCAAAATAAAAGTTGAAAAATTCTAATTGTGTTTCTGTAAAATATTGGTAGAGACTTGAGCAAGGAGGGAGGAAAAGGAAAACTCTGTCCACATCCCTATAGATGGTCTCCTTCCTAAGGAGAAAGGCCAGCATTTAGAATAAGCTAAATGTGCATGTCCACTTACTCCCTACAGAATCCAATAGAATACATATATACAATAGTTGAAGATGAATTCCTTAGTTGAATGGCTAAATAATATGGATGCATATGCCGGTTTGCCTCATTGGATAGAGCGTCGGTCTGCGGACTGAAAGGTCCCAGGTTTGATTCTGGTCAAGGGCATGTACATTGGTTGCGGGCACATCCCCAGTAGGGGGTGTGCAGGAGGCAGCTGGCCGATGTTTGTGTCTCATCGACGTTTCTAGCTCTCTATCCCTCTCCCTTCCTCTCTGTGGAAATCAATAAAATATATTTAAAAAAATATATATGGATGCATATGATTATATCTTACTAGTAGCCCTGCGCATGAATCCATGCACCAGTAGCTCACTGCCTCCCTCCAGTAGCTCTCCGCCCACTGCCCCACCCTCCTACAGCACCCTGCTGCCCCCATTGCCCCTAATTGCTTGCTGCCCTGCCCCCTCCTATAGTTCTCCACTGCCCGCTTGTAGCCAGTAGCTTGCTGCTGCCCTCCCGTAGCTCTCCACCGGCTGCCCCGCCCTCCTGTAGCTACCTCAGCCCCTGCCCCCCCACCCATAGCTTGCTGCCCTGACCCGTCCTGGAGCTCTCTGCTGCCTGCTTATAGCCAGTAGCTCTCTCCCCCACCCTCCTGTGCTCACTGCCCCACCACCCTGCTGATCTGGTCATTACACAGTCAGTTATTACACTTCACAACGTAACAACCATTTGCATATTACATCTTTTTATATAGAATTATAATACATATACATGTATATTTAAGTATGTGTACTTATCTACATTAACTTATACATTTTAACTTTAGACGCTCTAAGTAATATTTTCAAAACAAAAAAACAAATGTATGTATACCACCTACCTTAAATTTGTCTTAATATATTTTTTCCTGCCGCATTTGTTCATTATTAAGACATTTGTAATCAATGCTTTGCTCCTTCTCGGTTTTCTTCTTTATTTACCCTGCAGTGAAATTATAATGTTGAATTGGGAGATCATAACTTTTTTTTTTTAATTAAAACCTCTCAAAACTACACCAGAAAAATATCCTAATTTCTATAAAATTGAAAAAAAAGCATAAAAAGCTGAAAACAATTCTATATTTTTCAAATAGAAAAAGCTGAAAACAATTCCATATTTTTTCAATTTTATGATCTTCCTAGGAAAAGATTTCAAAATCCTTAAATCATGTGTTCTCAGATTCTTTTCTACTGAAGAGAAAGCATTGCTAATTACTTAATATGTACTATGCACTACTCATAGGTATCAGCTCTATTTTTATTTATTTTTTACTTTTTTAATCCTCACCAGAGGATATATTTTCAACTGAACCTGCAACAGAGAGATATGTCCTTGAACAGGAATCCAACCTGAGACCCTTCAGTCCCTGGGCCAACACTGAGAAAACGTGGCCAGGGCTATGTTTAAATGGTAATAATCACTTAATAAATTGAATAAATCATTTTCCCTCTTTTCCTTTTATTGATTTTTATTTATTTATTTTTTTTTATTTATTTATTTTTTTTTATATATTTTATTGATTTTGTACAGAGAGGAAGGGAGAGAGATAGAGAGTTAGAAACATCGATGAGAGAGAGCCATCGATCAGCTGCCTCTTGCACACCCCCTACTGGGGACATGCCCGCAACCAAGGTACATGCCCTTGACCGGAATCGAACCCGGGACCTTTCAGTCCCCAAGCCGACGCTCTATCCATTGAGCCAAACCGGTTTCGGCTCTTTTATTGATTTTTAGAAAGAGAGAGAGGAAGGATATGAGAAAGGGAGAGACAGAGGGAGGGAGAGTGGGTGAGAGAGGGATAGAGAGAGAAACATCAATTTGTTGTTCCACTTATTGGTTCCTTGGTTCATTCTTATATGTGTCCTAACCAGGAATCGAACCTACAGTCTTGATGTATTGGGATGACACTCTAACCAAATGAACTATATAGCCAAGACAAATCATCTTCTTAAATTTCACTCCACTGCAACAAATTTGTCAACCATTTTACATTTACCTTAAATCTGAAACTGGGTTTTGGCAAAGAATTTTAATTCCAAACAAAATATTAATGTTTATTTAAAATCTCCTTCGAGAGGAAGTAAGATAGCAGCATAGGTAAATGCCTATACTTGCTGCCTTTACAACCACATCAAAATTACAATTAAAATACAGAAAAACCATCATTCAGAACTGCCTGAAAGATGGCTGAATGAAAGTCTTACAAATAGAGGAGAAACACATTAAAACTGGTAGGAGGGTTGGAAGCAATGAATGGGGCTAGTCCAGTGGTCGGCAAACCACGGCTCATGAGCCACATGCGGCTCTTTTGTCCCTTGAGTGTGGCTCTTCCACAAAATACCACGTGTGGGCACAAACATACAGTGCGATTGAAGGAGTACCCTAATTAAGTTAATAACAATGTACTTACCTATATAGTTTAAGTTTAAAAAATTTGGCTCTCAAAAGAAATTTCAATCTTTGTACTGTTAATATTTGGCTCTGATGACTAACGAGTTTCCCGACCGCTGGACTAGTCCAATACTCATATGTGCTGTTTTTTATTTTTATTATTATTTTTTTAATAAATCTTTATTGTTCATATTACAAATGTTCCTCATTTTTTTCCCCTCCATTGCCCCCCTCCACCAGATTCCCACCTCACCCTCTGCCCTTTCCCCACCCCTCATTGTCCTCATCCATAGGTGCACAGTTTATGTTCAGGCTCTTCCCGCACCCCCCACTCCCCTTTTCCCGAGAATCGTCAGTCCACTCTCCTTCCATACCTCTAATTCTATTATATTCATCAGTTAATATTGTTCATCGGGTTTTTTAATTACCGTGGCTTTTAGTTTCACTTATTGATAGTTACTTATTTGTTGTTCATAATTTTTATTTATATCTTCTTCTTCTTCCTAAAGAACCCCTTTCAACAATTATATAATTCTGGTATGGAGGTGATGAACTCCTTTAGCTTTTTTTTATTTGTGAAGCTCTTTATATGGCCTTCGATTCTGAGTGATAGCTTTGCTGGGTAGAGTATTTTTGGCTGTAGGTTCTTGTTATTCATCACCTTAAATATTTCTTGCCATTCCCATCTGGCCTGCATGGTTTCTGTTGAGAAATCAGCTGACAATTTTATGGGAGCTCCTTTATAGGTAACGACCTGCTTTGCTCTTGCTGCTTTTAATATTCTCTTTGTCTTTTGCTCTTGGAATTTTAATTATGATGTGTCTTAGTGTGGTCCTCTTTGGATTCCTTTTGTTTGGGGTTCTGTAAGTCTATTTCTTTCCCCAGGTGGGGAAAGTTTTCTGTCACTATTTCTTCCAGTATGTTTTCGGTATCTTGCCCTCTCTCTTCTTCTGGGATCTCCATAATTCTGATGTTGGTTCGTTTGAAATTGTCCCAGAGGTTTCTTACATTATCTTCAACTTTCTGGATTCTCTTATCTTCTTGCTTCTGTAGAGGAGTGTCCTCTAGCTCTTTGTGTTCCAAATCTTTGACTTGATTCTTGTGATCTTCCATTCGTTTTTAGGACTCTGTATAATATTTTTTACTTCAGATAATGTATTCTTTATTTCTAATTCATCCCTTTTCATATCCTCATAAGTCTCGTGTGTTTTTTTATCGGCCTTTTCTAGAAAATTCTTGAAAAACCTTATAAGTGTCGTTTTGAACTCTATATCCAGTCGCTTCTTGTCCTCCATTTCTTTTGTTTGTAATCTGTTTCCTTCCTTGTCTCTGCATTTTCACAGCTTCCCTGAATTGGTAGGGTAGCTCTGTGTGCTAAGGTGTCCTATTTGGTTCAGTGGGTCAGCCTCCCAGTTACGTGAGGTGGACAGGCTTGGTGTAGCCCTTTGTGGGCTGTGTGTGCAGTCTTGTTGTTAAGCCTTCCTAGTTGTTGGTATCACTGGGAAGCATTGATCTCCAAGCCAATTGGCTATGAGGATCAGTAGTGTATCAGGTAGGAGGGTTTCTGTATTCCGCTTGGATGGGGCGGAGTCTCAGAGTGGCACAGACAAGCTTTGGTGAATTCCGCAAGATTAGTTGCAGGTGCGTGTGTCTATTTGGTATAGGCGCAGACTGTCCCTCCCTACGAGAGTCCTATTCGCGGCGAATGGGAAAGCTAGCCACTGAACGGGCTTCTGTGCTCTGCTTGGATGGGGCGGTGTCTCGGGTGCAAACAAGCTTTATTCGGCCCCTCCCTACAAGGGTCTGGTTTCTGAGTCCCACAGTAATGACTGCTGGCTTTACACACCTCTGAGAGATCGCTGCCCACTGCCTGACATTCTGGCTTCTCCCTGTCTGGGGCCGACTATCAGAGCAATAGGGTGGTTCTGTTTTCCTCCCGAACAAGAAATCTAGCCATGCACATTAGCTGTCCGCCCTCTCCACACACAGGGAGTAAGCCAGTAGTGAACTCGGCCCGCCCTCTCCACTCTCCGCAAGCAAGCCAGCAAGGAAGTCTGGCGGCCGCCTTTTTGCGCGCAGTTCACCGCACCTTCACAGTTCCTGAGGTTCAGCGTGCCTTCTCTCTCCTTCCCAGATGGCAGAGCCTCCTCTCAGCCAGCCGTCTGGCACTTCAGGGCAATGTTTCCCCTGTTTTCCAGTTCTAAATTCAAATTTGTTGTGGTAGGCTGCATTTAGGTGTCTACCTTATGCCGCCATCTTGGTTTCTCTCATATGTGCTGTTTTTTAATCATGTTATCTCTGCTACAGATGCTGCCTGTGAGAAGCAAAGGGTCCCAGTTGCACACCAGACCACAAGCACAAGGTTCCAGAGCTGAGAAGAAAAGTCCCTGAAACTATAGGCTGTAAAAACCAGTGGGGATTGTGGGTGAGTGACAAGGAGGCTGCTGGAATACTTGGTGTTCCTCTTAAAGAGCCTGCACTCAAAGGTACACAATCCGGCTTCTTCTGACCTCCAGCACCAGGAGACCCAGAAACATTCAGGAGGAACTGGATTGTCTGACATTGGGGCAGGAACTTGGGGACAGCTTTCTCCCAGACAGGGGGCATTGTTCCCGTGCTTTGACCTCCCCTGTTGCAGGGCTGACTGGCAGGCATATCTGAGGCTCCATCTGTCTGGAGCACATGTTTGCTCCACCTTGGGGATTCCCTTAGACCCTGCCCCATCCAATTTGCAGCCCCTCCCAAATTGTTTGCAACAGCTTTTCCATATGAATGGCCTGTCCTGGCCCAGGCTTCAGACTTTGCTGAAATCTCTCAACAAGTTACAGCATGCCCCAAATCCATCAGAAAAGGCTCAAGACCCAGCTAACACCAGCCTGCTTTGCTTCACCAGGGATTCCAGCAGCCTCCTTGTCATTCACCTGGCACCTCCAAGCTCAATACAAATAGCAAATTGCAGGTCCCTCTGTAGTTCCTACAGTGTGGCCCTAGGCAGTGGCTAACTTTGCATCTCCCTGGAGGTCACAGAGCCAGTGAACTTGGTGGACAGATTCAGATCATAGCAGAATACAACTCTACACATCCATAAGCAACATATTCAAGGGGCAAACTCAGTGAGCACCAAAACCCCAATGAAGCAAGTCCTGCTCCATAGCGGTGTTCCCTGCAGAGCAGCTCTCCTACTGTAGTCACAGATGTTCCAAACAGCCATTGGCCTGAAAGTCAACTCCTCCCAGTGACATCAACAGCAATCAAGGCTCAACTATATGACTATGCACACAGACCACACCGGGGTGCATTTAGAGTGCCCAGCTCAGGTGACTGGGGAGGCTAAGTCACTGGGCCTTATAGGCCAGTCTACCAACATAGCAGCTTTAACTAATACATAGAAACAAATACAGGGAAGCAAGTCAAAATGCAGAGACAAAGAAACATGTCACAAATTAAAGAAATAGAAGCAAGCAAACTACTGGATACAGAGTTCAAAACAATGATTATAAGTTTACCCAAGGATCTTAATGAGACTTTCAAGGATCTTAGTGAGAATGTCA